AGGAAGTCATATACTGGCAATCTAAATGTGACCTTAAAATTGACCTTTGACCTACTTTTCACCATGAACTGAACTTTGCAAATTTTGCTTCCCTTTTATCTCCAAAACTGGCAGAGATAGGCCCATAGTTACTATTGAAGTTGAATAGGAAGTCATATACTGGCAATTTACTGTGACCTTGGAATTGACCTTTGACCTACCTTACGATGAACTTAACTTTGATTGTACCATTTTTAGTTATATATATATTTTTTGCATATTTTGAAAATTCTTGTTGATTGCATTTTTACAGCTTGTCAAGCACAAGACTGGTGGCTGTGTTCCTTATTTTGTGTATGTGGGGGTCTGTACGAATGCGTTTGCTCCAGCTGGTGGTACAATATTCGGAGGCGGTATCGCCTCTCTGATCCTCTAGTTTTAGTAGTTATGCTGTTTTTTCACTTTTCAGCATATATGCAACACTGTAAACACAATATAAGAAAAACAGATACGCCAATTGTCATTAAACTCACAGGAGTGGTTAATTTTACTAAAACGCAGGTTGAGTTCATACATCAGCATAATCGGGCCATTATTTTAGAAGTCATGCTGTTTTTTCTCATGTCCTCAGATTCAATTCTTAGGCATGTTAACAGTCTCATTATTGAACTAATAAGATACGTAAAAGTGTTTGTTTGACATTTCCTGTATCTTTACAACATTTTTAGTTGATTATGTAAAAATGATGGTTAACTTGTTATCGTGTATAGTGTAATTAAGTTTCAAAAAAGGAAATAAACTCATATCATTGCAGTTTGTCAAATTCAATCATTCACTATGTTCAGAATCTCAGAATGGAGAAAATTGGAATTTAACACTGTTGTATTGATATTTTTCCCATCTCATCAATTTTATTAGTTGATCATATAAAAATGTCAGTTAACTGTTAATTTTGTTTTATGTTAAAATTTGTTAAAAATGGAAAAAAAAACATTTCAGAACAGTGCTGTCTTGTTTACATTTTGGCATTTTCAAGGTGTGACTTTGAAGTTCCATGGGCCTGAAGACCTTTGCTAGTCACATTTTCTTAATATTCATGATACTAATATTTTATCATTAAAAATTGGTAGTCATTATGCTGTTTAGCATTACATAATATTGTATCTGATCTTTGAAAGGTGTCACTGACTATCCTCAAGCTTTCAAGAATAATTATTTGGATTAAAATATAGCTTCATTTAGGAAAGTAGCCTGCTTTAATTGCGAACATTGCCACAAGACCTTCCAAACTGCTTCAATCCCTTTTCTTGAAGTTATGTAGTTTTTTTGTGAAATGCTCATTTGTCACATATTTGCATTTAAGAGGTGTGGCTGTGAACTTCTGTGGCCCTGAAGCCCAATATTTTATACATTTTTACGATTTCCATGTTTGGTGCATAGATAAAATTTGGTGGAGAAAATGTTGTTTAAAAAAAAACCTTAATATTGCTTTAGAGTTGACAGTATAACCTATTTTGTGGCTCCCTTTTTATGTACAGACACAGATGTGTCTGTACATATTGCCATCACCTGCGTCTGTCGTCGCCGTCGTCGCCCGCGCCGTGCACTTTCCTTGTAAACACGATAAGTGCAAGGCAGTTTTACTTTTTGGCTTTATATTTACAGAGCTGACGAATATTCATAAAACGCAGGTCAAGTTCGAAAATCAGTATGAACGGGCCATTATTGTAGAATTTATGCTGTTTTTTCACTTTTCAGCATATATGCAACACTGTAAACACATTTCAAGGAAAACCGATAGGCCTGTTGTCATGAAACTCACAGGAGTAATCGATCTTACTAAAACACAGATCAAGTTCGAAAATGGGCATGATTGGGCCACTATTTTAGTAGTTATGCTTTTTTTTCACTTTTCAGCATATATGCAACACTGTAAACACAATATAAGAAAAACAGATTGGCCAATTGTCATTAAACTCACAGGAGTGGTCAATCTTGCTAAAACGCAGGTGGAGTTCAAAAATCAGCATAATTGGGCCATTATTTTAGAAGTTATGCTGTTTTTTCACATTTCCTCAGATTCAGTTCTTAGGCATGTTAACAGTTTCATTATTTAATTAATAAGATACGTAAAAGTGTTTGTTTGGCATTTCCTGCACATTTACAACATTGTTAGTTGATTTTGTAAAAATGGTGGTAAACTTGTTATCGTGTATTGTGTAATTAAGTTTCAAAAATGGAAATAAACTCATATCATTGCAGTTTGTCAGATTCAATCATTCACTATGTTCAGAATCTCAGAATGGAAGAAATTGGACAATTAACACTGCTCTTTTGATATTTTTCCCATCTCATCATTTTTATTAGTTGATCATATAAAAATGTCAGTAAACTGTTAATTTTGTTTTATGTTAAAATTTGTTAAAAATGGAAAAAAAAAATTTCAGAACAGTGCTGTCTTGTTTATATTTTGGCATTTTCAAGTTGTGACTTTGAAGTTCCATGGGCCTGAAGACCCATGGTAGTCATATTTTCTGAAAATCCATGATACGTATATTTTATTATTAAAAATTGACAGTCATTATGCTGTTTACAATTATGTTATATTGCATCAGAATTGGAGAAAACACAATTTTGGGTGCTGCTGCCATGATGACCATTATGGGAAAACCATTATACTTATGATTGCCAAACTTTCAAAAAAGAAATACAGGACTTAAATACAGCAGTCCAGCAGCAGTGGAAAAGCAGTCTAATTGGCTTCTTTTTCTAGAAGGAATACATTTTCAAAGTTTGAACTTGAATTCCCATGGGCCTGAAGCCTTATGCTTGTTACACATTTTACTTACATTGGTATTACCTGTTTAGCATAATTAAAATTTGATGTTGAATTTGCAGTTTAACATAATGTAATTTTGCATCAGAATTGACAGTAGCCTATTTTGTGCATAGTTATTTCCTGTTTTTTGTCTGTACATTTGACAGCTTTGCTGCCTCGTTTTTTTTTTCCTTTTTGTCTGTACATTTGACAGCTTTGCTGCCTTGCTTTTTTTTTATTTCATTGTGAAATATTGGGTTTATAGCTGAGCTGACTATTATCGGTTTATTGCTATTTATTCCCATGTCAGTATTATTGTCAAATTGAATAATTCAGTAAAAACATGAGAAAACATTTGGTAAAAGGTATAAAATGTAGGAAGATTAATTATTTTGATAACAAAGATTTTAAGGACTTGTTTTTTACTCTTGTTTGAAAGTATAAGATGAAATATATTCCCATTTGATTAAATTTGATATATGGTACATTTTTTTGTCATTTTTAGTGATAGTCCATCAGTCAAAGTTCGTGCTCAGAGAAAGTTTGCCCAGGGCCAGGGTGTCTGCTCTGCTCCCAGCAGTCCATCTCCCAGTGTGAACATGACCCCAGTAAAGATACAGGCTTCTGCATCACCAGCAAGCTCAGGCAAGAAGAGACACTTAGTAGCAACCAAGAGAGCTAAAACAGAAGATTTTCTCACATTTTTATGTTTACGAGGTGGGTTATTCCAAATAAACCAATTTCTTCACCTGAATTCTAGGGCAATCCCCCCCTCCCCGGGCAATCCCCCCCCACCCAAAGAAGATATATATATATATATATATATATTTATATACAAATATAAAGTAAAGAGTGTAAAGTTCAAAACTTTTCATCCATTTTATTAATATTTTTAATGTGACAATGCAACTCCATCATTAAACAAATTACTGTATAACAAATTCCCTTTTCATTGAGTACAGGTACAGAAAGTTTTATTAAATATGTAGAACGAAAGTAAAACCATCTATCCTGCAGGTGAAGGAAGGGTAAACAGATGAACAGGTTAAGATATTTTATGATGATTTGTAGTGTGATGGGTGGGTGGGAAGTGGTTGAGCAATTAAAAAATAATCAAAGGGATTCCTGGGTAAGTGAGGAAGTCTGTTTACCCCACCTCTCGCTAGAGATGCACCTTGATTCAAGACCGGCAACTTGATCAGGAGGGAGTGATGAAGTAATTAAAAGTATCAGTTTATACATCAAAGGGTTACATGGATGAGTGAGATCATCTGATTACCCCACCTTTACCTGGAGATATACTTTGACCAGATTTTAATTAAAAATTTCTGTACATCTATTTCTAAAATTTTCTGTACTTTTACTCCGTGAAAATGGAACTGGGATAAAATAATTTGTTTAATAACGTTAATATTCTCTATCCCTGAGTTCCATCATCACATTAAAAAATATTCATAAAATGGATGAAAAGATTTCAACTTTATATTCTTTACTTAGATTTGTATAGAAATGTATATTCCTTGGAGAGGATTGTTTGGGGGGGAAATTGTCCTGATACCCTTTACATTTTATCTTTGTCAACCATTTATTTATAGGCTTTACACATTCTGTAACCTGAGAAGTGAAAAAAAAATGTTTTTTTTTTTTAAATATTGTTTTCATGTACACATGCATCTTTCATCAGGTCATTATTTGAGACAGTTGCATCAAGATTCACATTTAATTTGCTGGTGACTTATTGGAGCAATTTTTTATTTAGTTTCATCTTTCTATATACAGGTACTGTATGTATATATATTCTGATGACAATTCTGTTACTGTTATGCTTGTGTTACTCTCCGACAGTCTTTTATCATCCATAAATGCCAATTTTATTTTACTGGAGGAATAAAATACAACTGTAGTTGGGAAAGCAGCGTGATTTGGATTTATTATTTTCAACTGAACTGACTGACTTTCGACTGAAACCCGTGTAGTTCAGCTATAATCAAAATAATGTTATTATTTATCATTTTATTAATTTATTTGCAAAAAACTGAATGCTTATAGAAATGATGCAAGTGTTCCTAAGTACCTCAAATCTTCTTCAGAGACATGTACTTTCAATGAGCACCACTACTTTCAGGTACCCCAGCTCTTCCAAAGAAACTCAACTTCTTTAACTACCCACCTGTCATGACTGAAAAGGTTACTCGCCCAGCAAACATGGTGAAGCTCTCCCGTAATGGTGGCAGAGGGAACACCACCCCTGTGAAGTATGAGGATGGCAACAGTAGAGATAGTTTTGACCTGGATGTATCTCCACTGGTGAGTCCAGCAGTGGTCTTCACTGTCAGACTGCTGATTGCATAGATGTTTGACTTGCCAGGGTGCAAGAACTATGCTTTATATATATATATATATATATATATATATATATATATATATATATATATATATATATATATATATATATATATATATATATATATATAAATGGATGGCAGTTTGTACTTGCAGTCATGCATTAAATAAAATGTTTGAAATGTTTGACCTATAAAATTATGCCCCTGCAACAAAGATGCACAATAAAAACCACCAACTAAAAATTTACATTTTATGGAGAGGCAGGAGTTGCCAATTAGGGCTACACCCTTGGAGACTTCAAATACCCTATGTTGCAATTTATTTGAATTAGACTCAAGTGATGGAATAACAGGCTCTGCTTTGTGCTTCTGCTTAAAGCTGAGATGGGAAATTAAAAAAAGGAAACCCTCCCGAGTCTGAGCACTGACTAGTGAGAACGTTGAGTCGTGTCTGAGCATGCGCAGTGACTATAGGGAGAATGTTGACTGGTGTTTGAGCAGTGACTAGGGAGAATGTTGACTGTAGTCTAAGCATTGGCTGGTGAAAATGGTGACTGGTGTCTGAGCATTTACCAAGGACAATGTTGACTAGGGCTGTATGGTAATTGTGTTGAGAAAAAGCAACAAGAAGTTATCTTGCCAAATACCAGTCTTTGATCATGTACCAATGGTATTTTTCTGTGGAGAACAATTGCTGTAGTGCTTCTTATTGGTAATAGCTCATAGATTTTTGATACATCACTTATTCTTTTCTTACATTATCTATTGAACTGCATGTAATCAGTTATGTTTGAATTTTATGAGAAATTACTTCTTCTGTAGTCTTTGTAATATAATCTTGATATGTTCCTCTTTACAGGGTACTAACACTACAGCCACTGCAGCTAGTAGTATTAATAGTTGTGTTGCCACTGGTACTGAAAGTAAAACTGCTTCCCAAAGTAAAACTAAACCAAGCTCTACTATAGAAACTATAGCCAGCAGCAGGTCTGATACCTGTCAGCCACCCACAGTAACTTCCCTCTCAGACACTGTACCTTCTGTGACATCAGTTTCCACAGCCATTTCTTCTGCTGCATTATGTGATCAACTCAAGGGCGATCACTTTGTGCCAATTACTATGGCAGAGACACTGGTTGAATGTATATGTCCTACACTGCAAGTGTCATCATCTGGCATGCTTGACAGTGTGAGCAAGTAACTTTGTTCTTTCTTTCCTTACTCTGTACACCTATTCTGTTACCACCTGCAAAAGCTTGGTTGATATATTATCTTTCATTTTGCATGTAGTTGTTTGCCTCGGAATGCTAGCCTTTGACAGGAGCCTTGATCCCTCTGTGACCTTGACCCTAATCTTGACCTACAGTCTAAACTGTTCAGTTTTATAGGTATTTGGGAATGCAAGCGTTAATGCTGCATATTTTTTCAGGAACCATGTTTAAAATTTACCAAGGGAAGAAAAAGACTTACTAGTAGAAGAGAGGATTTTCAGGACATGCAAGAGAGTAGTTGTAGATCAGACAGTGTAAAAGAAAATGTCTCTGTGCTAACAGATTTGCAGAGGAAACCACCTGTTTCATGTGGCATAGACACTAATGCCTCTTTAGCACCGAGTAGGCACATGGGTTACTCTACTTTATGTGATGAACAGCCAGTTATCCAAGGAATGAATGATGTGCAAGAAAAAACCCCAGAGGAGAATGCAGGTGACAGTGAAAGTGTTCTACCCAGTGATCTGGATAGTAGGTGTCATGTAGATGGTGGGGTACCCATCTCCATTGCAGAAATGTCTGGACTACCTGGGATAACAGCCATTGCCAAGGGTCAGACTGGCACAGATCTTGCTGTTTGTGACACAAATGGAGAACTTCTGTTCAATGCAAAGTCAGTTTCTAAATTTTTCAATCCAGAATCTTCTACAACAAAAGAGCTTGTCAGCCCATCTGTAATTGGTCAGAACATCAATGTTCCTTGCACACAGGTGGAAACCTCACATTCCCAGCACAATCTCTCCTCTTGTGTTGAGGAAGCTTTGGAAGATAACAAAGTGCCCTGTGCTTGGAATATTGTGAAAAGGAAGGACATACAAAATGCGCAAGATCTTATACCCACAAACAGTATTGCAACATGTTGTGAAGGATATGCTATAGCTGAAACTGTTATGATAAAAAGTTCAGGCAACACAGATCTTTCAAGATACTGTCAATCTTTGTCATCTTCTGCCCAAGACAAGTTGGGGATGAATGTGATACCAGGGTCTCAGAAAACAGATTTTATCAAAAATGTCAGAATAAATTTTGTACCAACTACAAGCCTTGTGGATGACAACAATGAAAGGGACAGGAGTCCTTTGTTGTCTGCTAGAGAATGTGATGGGGAGTTCCAGATCATAGGACAAGGGTCACCACAGTTGAGTGAAAGCTGCTGTATCCAGGTATGCACTGGCATCCATGCAGCCTGTCACAGAGAGACTCCACTAGCTTGCAATCCACTTATCATTGCTGATTCCACCCCTGTGGCTGCACATGTTGCTTTTAGGCCAAGTATTGTTACTGTTTATCCTGAAAAGGATAGCTGTGAAAATTTAGATAACTGTCTGGAGACCATTGGCACTGTAGAGGGAAGAGAACCTGATTATGTTAATAGTGATGATTGTGTTTGTTTGTCATCATGTGGTCAGTCAAATTCAAATGATCAGCTTAACGCTACTCTGTTGCCATCCCCTCAGTTAATAGCTTCTGATACCAAAGTGTCATATTCCATATCTAACCAGTTTGATGAAGACAACCAAATTAGAAATGATACTGCTGGTGATGATGGCATACCTTTTCCTGTGTTTGAAAAATGCCCCGAATTATGTTTATTGTCCACAGTAGAAAAACAGAATGGAGAAGAAAACTCAGCAGATGGTAATTTCCCAAACATATCTGTTTTAGAAGACCCATTCTCCCTTGATATTCATACATTAAGTAGTTTGTTAGAGTTGATGTCTGATTTGACCCTGGAGGATGGTTTAAGCTCACATCTAGAGAAAGTACCTGGCGTGAAAGATCTTGCAGCGGTGGGTATGCATGCACATGGTGAGAAGAATGGAGTTTGTAACTGCACAGACTGTTCTAGCTTAGTGGGAAGCTGCTCACCTTCTAAAGATCTTAGGGAATACCAAGAACATAGTGTCCATACCACAGATACCATGGATAGTGAAAAGGAACAAAGAGGTGGTCCCCTCCCTGCCAACCTACACAGATTCCATTTGCCTACAAGTGTACCTTTGGCTTGCTCTTCTGCTGAACGCCCAAGTGTAAAGGACCAGATAAATGAAACCATGTCAGCTTGCTATGGCCCCACCGCAAACTTGTACCCACAACCCCCTGTGCTTTGTTCACCAGGTTTCTTTAGGCACTGTGCAGTAAACAATGTGAAGGTAGTTATGTAGTTTTCCATAAGACCATTGCCTTGTTTGTTATTTGACTTGAGTTATATTTTTATATAATGTTAATTACCTCATTCAGTTTCATATGGGTTTTAGTCTGGTTTTCACTAAAATCAAGTTAAATCTTTTTTAAAACTGACTTATATCTAGAATCCATTCTAAGACCTTAATCATATCCCTGCATTTGTGCAATACCATGTTTAGGTTTACTTTTGGTTCCCTCAAATAATGAATACAGTGTAAGATATACTGTTCAATATTACTGTTTTTTAGTTTGAGGTGGTTGCTGAAAAAGCTGCAGGAACATGTGTCTTTAATAAGGAAGGAGACTTTTAGAACCAGACTAAAATTCAAACAAAACCATTGGATATAATGTGCCTGCTTACAATTATTTGCTTGATAATTATTGTTATTGTTATACAAGGTTCAGAATTGATTGTTCTTTAAACACTTCACAGTTCTTGGACAAAATGCCTCTTTAACAGAAAAGTGAGACTATAGCTCCAGTTCAGGGAGAATGAGGCTGTAGCTCCAGTTGAAGTAAAGACTTGATAATTTAATTAGGTATAAACTATGGGTAATGTATTATAACAGCAAGCAGAGGTGCTGTTATGATTTACAGTCCAAAATATTGTTTCAGTAGTTCATTATTATTGAGAGCTTGTTGGATTCTGATAGCAGGTCTAATAATTTATGATCCATAGATAAATATTAATAGCATGCCAATTAACATATTTTACATGATTAATAGCATGCTAATCCTCTGTAATTTCCCTTGCATGCTTCTGGTATTTCTGTTTTTACTTTTTATTGCTATTTCAACAGATTCACATTTGCTTTTATTTCCATTTTATAATTAAAAGGCAAAAATTAACAAGAATTAATAATTTGAAACATACTATGCATTTAAGTGATACTGTTGTTAAGTCTGATGTGGAATAAGTCATATATTATTGTTTGTTATGTTTCAAATTTTTTAATCAAATGAACTTCATGTTTCATTTTAACACCACTATCATCAATAATCCATGAATCTACATTTTTTCTGTAATAAATGTGCTTTGATTTATTTAGACTTGTGAAAGGAAGCTACTTTTCTTGAAAATCCTTTCTATTATATCATCTTGTTGCAGATATTTTTTTTTGTTTTAATATTATTAAAATAAATTCAGCAACTTCCAAGTTATTACATATCTGATATCAGTCTACTGTAACAGTTGTTTCAATCTGTATTATTTTTACATTATCAGCCTCGTGACACTCCACCAAGAAGACCATTTTCCAAGCACAGTGACAGATTCCCAAGGGCCTCTTCACCCCCTCCCAATCTTTCTCCAGTGAAACCCATTGCCATGAGACCAACCCCGACCAAGTCCAGGGTGCCTCCTCCACTGTTGCCTATTGAACCACTAAAGAAATACGAGGTACTGCTGCATGCCTCCTATAATATAAAGGATGTTCTTCTGATCAATGATATTTTTACTTATTTTATGTTTTATGGGGTCTTTTCAAGGAATGGAAACCTTGCAAAATCAAGATGAATTTTTTTAAATCATGTTATATTGAAATCTTTGAAAACATTTTTTTTTATGTACAGATACAGATGTGTCTGTACATATTACAGTCACATGCATCTGTCGTCGCCATCGCCACTGCTGTTGCTGTGCATTTTCAGTGTTAAGCAGAAAATCATTTTACCTTTTGTCTTTAAACTTAAGGCATTGATGAATATCTTTAAAATACTGAGTACAGGTCAAGTTTAAAAATCTGCATGATCCGGCCACTTTTTCAAAAGTTTTGCTGTTTTTTCACTATTGACAGCACATATGATATACTGATAACACATATCAAAGAAAACCTACAGGCCTATTGTCTTCAAACTCACAGGTGTGATCAATCTTACAGAAATACAGGTCTTGTTCGAAAATCAGCGTGATCTGATCATTTGTCCAAAAGTTATGCTGTTTTTTTTTTTTTTTTTCAACATTTTATCCACTGTCCCATATTTTGCTTTAAAATTTGCAGAACTAATTCATAGTATGTAGATTTTAAAAAATTTTGACAAGGTTGCATTGTGACAAACATCACACCTAGGCCAATGCAACAACGTAGAAAAAATTATAAGGAGTTGAAGTTGAGATTATATGTGACCTCATTCCAAGAGATGGGAACACAGGTCTTTGAAGTCTAGGAGGAAAAGTGGTAACGGTGACTGCACAGTAGAGCCAGCACCATGCCTTGGTACAGTAACAACCATTTTCACAAATCATGAACATTGTTTCAAACTTTTTTCATCTGCATAGAACCATTAACTGTGTTGCATTGAATTGGCATGGTAAAATGTTCTATATGCCCCATTGTTTTAAAGTCCTTTTTCTGTATCCTTTCAGTCCAAGAAGGTGATGACAAGGAGTGAATCTGCTGTAAAGCTGAAGAAACTGCAGGTGACTGTGACCAGACTGAGGTCAGGCAAGGTGGCCTATTCACATCACCACAAGTCTCCATTTAAAACTTACCATAAGGTGAGGGGTGTATTACAGATAGAGAGAGGGATGAAAGTAACAGTGAATATTTTGGAAAATATGATGGTCCTACAGATGGTCTTGTTAACTTGGTTTGTGATGTGCTGCAAGGTTGGGAAGTCAGATAGAGATAAAGTTTAATTATATGCAGACACTTCTTGTGTATATATACATTCAGATCACTGTGTCTATCCTTATTATTGTGGTAGATGTTCTACACATATTTTAGGGACCATTTCCATACCCTTTCGTGCTAACTGTGGATCAATCTATCTCCGGCCGATTTTTGCTGAATTGCAATCAACTTAAGCGGCTTAGATGGCTGTCACGCCTACTGAAGCTGCTAAGGGGTAATTAATCATTGTTAAGCAACTTAAGTAGGCGTGCCAGACATCTTGGCCACTTAAGCTGAAAGCAATTAAACGAGAAACCCATCGGAGATACATTGATACTGTTAGATGGATCTAGGTAAGGGAACCCAATCTTACTCTTAAGCAAAGTTTTTAAAAAATTACTGATTGGCTTTGGTAAAAAAGCAGGATCCACACAAATATTGGCATTTTGATGTTAATATGCAGAAGTTATGGGATTTTTTGCATGTACTTAGTGGCGCTTGCCCCAATTACAGTGTCAAACTGTAATTATATCCATTCCATCTAGTGTAGTATCAGAATCAATTAACAACTTGAGTATAAAAATGACAAATGCAATATACAAGTTGATTGATATTTGACCAGTTAAGGCTGCTTTGATTTATTACAAACCCAAATTACATTTATAATGAATCAAACTTATAATCTGAAATAACTAAGAAAACAGATTTATTAGGTAATCACCTGAAACATGGTAACTAGATTTATGGTAGTCCACCAGACTGCAGTTGCGGTTGCAACTTTAATCACTAACATTTTTGTGAATAAGTTCAAAAATATTGGGTTTAACTGCCAACAGAGTGTATAGGCCCAGGCATGCATACTGTCATAAACCATGGCCTTGGCTCTGCCCACTTGATACTTCATATTTTATAATGGACTATATATTTTTCTCTAGGTACAAAAACTAAAGAAAACCAAGGAGGCTATTTCAGAAAAAATCAAAGCTAAGAAAAGTAAGAAAACAGATGGAGGAGAGGAAAGGGGAGAGTCTCAGAAAATGAAGAAAAATAAGGACAGTGTAGACACAAATGAGAAAAAGAAGTCTGCAAAGCAAAAAGTAGTAAAAAAGAAACTAAACACTGATGATTCAAAGCCCATGAAAATGCTTCCATTGGAGGAACCATCTCGAAAGAAAACCAAAACTCTTGTTAGCCATGAAAAACCACTCACACAAGGCAAGAGTAGAGCTAAACCCATAAAAGATGGGGCAAAATCCAAAGGAACCACAAAAGACCACCCAAAAAGAAAGATTAAAACTGAGGTTACAACAAACATGCCTATTAAACAAGAAAAATTGAAGAAAGAAACAGATGATGAAATGCATTCCACAACTGATAAGGGCATGCTTACCAGGCGAGGGAGGGCCTCTTCTGTGCCCCACTCAGATGAAATAGAAATAACATTTAAGACAATAATGCCAAAAATTCCTTCCAAGCAGTGTCTCAGTAGTCATTGCTCAAACAGTTCCAGATCTTCTAAAGTCAGTTTAGGAAAAAGAAAATTTGAAGGCTCTGAGCATAAGGATAGCATTGGTGTTGAACAGCACATCTCTGGCACTCTACCAGCAAAACTGAGTAAAAAGAACACTGATATACCGCAGGGAAGCAAGTTGAGGTCACAGTCATCTGGAGCTGTGACTGAGGAATCTTGTGAAAAGAAAAGGTGCCATCCAGGAGAGAGAGCGAGGAGAGTGACCAGCACCATGTCATCAAGAGCTAAGAACAATCTTATTAAGATGCCAGTCTCAAATAAAAGGGGTCGACCCACTGGTAAGAAAGGCAGTCAAGAGACTAGGGAAATGTACTAGAATCTGAAAAACAAGTAGTCTTTAAGTTTACGCATACTGTTGGCAAAAATCAGCCTGAAAAACTTTACTTAAAACTGGCCCTAATATCATATAATCCTTATGGACTCCATCTGTCACCAAAAAAAGTATAGGCATTGAGCTGATTGTCATATCATTATATTTGGGTCGAAAGTGCTATTTTTAGTTTTCTGGTGTTCTCTAATACATGGTCTTATATCAGAAAAATTCTAACTACAAATAGGGGCTGTGCATGAGCAGTAAAGGACAGTGCAACTAATTTTTTTTTTAATAATTATTTACAGATTTTATCACTTTTAATTTTAAGTAGTGTAACACCAATTTTCAATGGACCTTTGTTACCAAGACAGCCTGACATGGGGTTTAAAAATGTTATCAATTATCTTTGGTACTGTATTTATATTTTATTGCCAAAAACTACACCTATTTTGGCTATTTTGTCTATGGTTACGGAGTTATCCTTTCTACTGATTGCTATCTAAACCAAATTAGGAGTATTGAGTTAAACCAGAAAAGTTTTCCAGTCACTCCTACTGATAAAGTGGCATCATAAAAAATGATATGTTGATGGCAAAGTCCTTTAGTGTATGCTATTTTAATACATGAGTAAGAAAAGGAAAGAAATAACTCAAAATAGATGATATAGTGAGATAATTTGTGGTATATTATCTAAATGTCCCACTTTCACTGACACTTTGAAATCCCAATCAGAAATTTGTTCAGTATGTAGGTAATTCTCATTCCTTTCTTGCAGTTCTTAAATGATTCTTTGTTGTTTCCTTATCATTCACTTTATGGGAAATTGTTGATCTGCCATAAAACTTCATTGGTCAAAAACATTTGTGGGTGGGTTTACAAATTTCAAATTTGTAAATGTATTTTATTATACAATTTTTCTTATTGTTCATTACAGCTTCATAATTGATTCTTTTGCATTTTGGGCTTTATATGACCATTCCTGTTTATTTTCGTGTACAAACACAGATGTGTCAGTACATATAGCTGTCGTCTGTGTCAGTCATTGTTGTCATCACCCTCGCCATGCACATTCATTATTATACAAATTAAATGAATACAATTTTACCTTTTGTAATCAGGCTAACAGAACTGATGAATATTCATAAAATACTGGTCAAGTTTGAAAATCAACCTGATTTCCAAAAATTACAAGTTTTTGTTTTTTTTAGCATATTTTGTCCACTGTTTTACAAATTTTAATGAAAGCCATGTCATATTTTGCTTTGAAACTTGCAGGACTAAGTCAAAGGTCTAATATATAGATCAATATCAAAAATAAGCTTGATTAGTTTATTTTTTACTGTCAATTTTTTTCTTGAGCCTTGGTCCACTGGATAAGTAATTTATATGTCGATGGATTACCAGTTCGTTGGCTGCTAAGTTTATGCACCCAGTGGCAACACACTGAGGCATTACTATGGCAGTGTCTTAAATGTCCCTACTTTGTTTAGCACACCTGTCCTAAAATTCAGTATCACATTCAGCTGATGCTCTATATCGGTCATCACATATTGCATCACAGTACCATGTCATGTGACCTAGATCTGTTGCTTTATTTTTGAAATTGAAGTGGGTTTATTTTTAAACATAAATACTAGCCACTTTATTTTTGCATATTGAAGTTTTTTTTTACATAAATATTAAACTCGTTTCAGTATATATTCTGATTGATCTGTCTGGCCGTGTCATTGCTGTTGCTGTCCAACACATGACGTTTGCCCCAAAGAAGCCAAATTGTATTTTTGTTTTACTTTAAATTTACTGAGTTGCTTTGTATGGTAAAAAAGCAGGTTGCTTTTGAAAACCAGCATGATACATTTAGATTTACATTCTTTATTATTATTATTATTATTATTTATTTATTTATTTATTAATTTATTTTTATTTTATTTTATTTATTTTATTATTATTTTTTTTTTTGCATAATTTTGGTGACGTTCGCCCCATAACTTCCAAATCATATTTTTGTTTTACTTTAAATTTACTGAGTGGCTTTGTTTGGCAAAGAAGTAGGTTGCTTTCAAAAATCGGATGAAATTTTGGGTTCTGAGAAAAATTTATATTTGTCTCTTACCTTACAGGAACCTTGACCATATTTTATAATAAGGAACTGATTGTTACTTAATTATGTAAAGATTTTATGTCTTGCACAGTAGGTGACTGTGTTTGTGCACCCATGCATATTTATTTCATGGATAGATTTAACTTTTTTCTCCTTGATCCACATTAAGAAGTGTAATGTTGTTTTTGTAGCTAAAAGTTCCCCAACATCGGAAAGGATGAAAGAAACTGTCAAAGGAAATGAAGAGGCAGTACAGTTATCTGAAGCTCCCATGTACAGCCCTGCTGCGAATGAATTTGTAGACCCCATAGATTTCATTGAAGCCATCAAGCCAAATGCTGAACAACAGGGGATGTGCAAAATAATACCACCTCAAGAGGTCTGGAAGGTAATATAACCAAATCACTTTCTTTTTCCACTGATGTAATTGTATATGAATGCATTTTCTTAAAAAAGTGAGTGTCACTTTGCAAAAAACACCTAATGCAAAGAATTCTGAAAAAAGGATAATTTCCTTGTATCGTAGCTTATTCAGTGCTTATTTGACTCTAGTGGGCATTGGCATTGCACAGGTACTAGAAGGAAGAATATATTACAAAGACTACAACTGAAAGTTTAAGTTAAGCCACGGTTACAACCGGACGCACGGATTTTTGGATCATACGTCCCCTGCGAATTTTGCGTGCAGTAGAAGCCGTGGAGGTCGTAGAGGTAGATGAAAGTCTGCCTTGCAAGTTGCAAGGGCCAAATGAGATATCCTTTTAAGCAGGAACGCTAACTGCAAGGTGCAGGGGCCGTGGAAATTGTACTCATTTCTTGAATTTGTCTTGCTACCTGCATACGTGGCACGCATGCACCACTATTGAAGAGAAAGCAACGCACGGCCAAAGTAGTTCCATTTTGCTTCACACTTGCCTCACACACTTGTGATGAAGTACTAACTGTGCACGTCAGTTTTGCCTACTGTTCTCCCCTTCTTTCTTCTTCTTTCTCCCTTCTTTCCTGCTCTCTGAGTTTTTTTTTTTCTTGTCTTTTGGAGGCATATTAGAAGCTGAATTAAGCAAAATTCGAAATTTTTGAAAATTGTTGGACAGGTTGCATGATCTTCGTTAATTTTCGAGACACGACCGTGCATCGTGAGTACACCTTTTTATATTCTCCTGGCATAGGGGTGATGCACCTGCGGCGCACTTCCGCGGTGCTTTCGACTTTGATCGTTAATTGTGAGGGCGTGCGCCGTACTCAACATGCAAAAGGCACTTGCTCCTTCATTGCTTGAGACTTGCGTCTTGGACCATGCATGTCTCACTTGCGAACTCCTTGTGAGTGAAGCAAGGTTCTCTTGTGGCCTCGCTGTTTGCAGATTATTCGTAGAATCTTTTGGACATGTCCAACATCCTCCGTACATGTATACGGGCTGTCTGCGAACTCCAAATTTCGCAAGAGAGACTTGCGTTGCACGTGAGATTTTGTGCAAAATTTGGACGCAAACAGGCCATAAAAGCCCGCATGGCCGGTTGTGACCAAGGCTTTATAAAAAAATTGAGTGACTTTTGGCTTTACATATCATCTCATGTCATCATCAACAAAATATATGCCACAAACTTTTTATATTTTTTAACGGATGTTAAAAATGACCTCTTGATTACTGCCAAACGTGACATAGAAAGCTGTATGTACAGCTTGTAGGAGTTTTGACATCAGGCAGTGATGTTGTTCTAGAAATTCTGGATCGACCTAACTCCCTGGGGGTTCACGTTAAATTGCTGTCACCTTCCGAGAGCCGAGCACGCACAAAAGTTAATTACACCCTTACAGCTTTTAGTAGGCGAGACAGACATTAAAGCCGGTCAGGCTGACAGCAATCTGGTGAGACTCCCCAGGAGGATAGATCGATCTAAATATCTGTGGGAATGGTCTTCTACGCTACATTTCAACAGGCTGAACACAATTTTTGCCCAAGGAAAGTGCTTTACACATAATAACTTCTTGAAAAGTCTGATTCTCTGTTCCTTTTAAGACTGCAAGGTTTTACAGTAACAGCGTAATAACAAAAATGTACATATGGAAGTACGTACCAAAAAATTGTTTTCCATTTTATTTCAGCCTGAGTGTAAAGTACGGGATGATATGAGATTTGTGTACCAAATCCAACATGTGCACAAAATGTATAAGCGGTAAGTTATTAACTATGTATGTGAAATACTCCAGTTGTTCATAACATTTGACTGGGCATGCATTTTCCCTTAATTCACGACGCTGTCTGTAGCTATCACAAGCTATTACTGGAGTTGTGTGTACTGCTTGGGTCCAACTTAAAGATCATACCATTTCAATATTTTATAACACAGACTTAATGTAGAACACAAGGCGTTGTATCTCTTAGTAAAGGTAAGTTGCAATCTTACTTAAATTAATTAACCTGTATATTTTATATGCATTGTCAAATATTATATCATATGACAAAGGTTAATTATTGAGTAAACAAAAGGGGCTGACAGGCGACAGTCAGGGAAAGAGTTACAAAATTGCGGAGACTTCACAACATTTACATATGCAAATACTTCACAGATTGTGGAAAAATTAGTGGATCATGAATAAAACTGACTGGTCATTCTATGTCTGGGGGCTTGATCCATTTGTTTAGGTAATATATATGTTTAAAATGTTATGTCCTAATTCAAACCCTAGCTTAATTATTTAAGCTTTCCTAAATTGAGTGAATAAGTTGAGTACATGTATTATGGGTTCACTACAACTAGTAGAAAAACAAATGAAAAATAAACTGATAAAAAAACTTATATTGACACTAATGGCTTTTGTTAATGTGAATAACAATTAAACCAATATCTGTAGAATTGAAACATACCTGACACTTGTATTGTGCCCTATTTCAATTACCGAAGTTGTTCATTAATGAGCAGTTTGTGCTAGGAATGGTGGGATAGCTTGAAGTAATTGGGACTCGAGTTGTGAGCAAGCTAGAAGTGGATTTTCCAACTGCATGGTTAAATAAGGATAGGCCTCTTTTGGTATTTTAATTAGAGAATACTAGTAGAAATACAGTAGTAGAGAATACTAGTAGAAATACAGTAATAGAGAATACTAGTAGAAATACAGTAGTAAGGAATACTAGTAGAAATACAGTAGTAAGGAATACTAGTAGAAATACAGGGTACATTATATGGAAGCATGTAACATGCTTGAAGGTGGAAATATTTCAGACATAATTTTTCAAACAAAGTTGGTTCATCAATCAACAGTGTGAAAGAAATTCACAAAAAGGTTCTTTGTGTTTTTGTGAATAGTTGTCATTTGCATTTAATGAATGTAAACAACCTGATATGTTCTTATCTTAATACTGAAGTTGTAACAATGTGCAATGTTTCATGCTTTTTATTTCCCTAATTTGAACAGTTTTTAGTTTATTTAACACCAAGTTGACATAAATTTTTCATAGCATCAAACTAGTAGGCCTACCTATGACATCAGGGTACAAAGTAATTAATATCATGACAAAGACAATGTTCTGAGAACCTCTTGCTTTAATAATATTAAGTCACTGTAGGAAGAGAATTTAAGGTAAAAAAAACACAAATATGACAGGAAGATAAGACTCGAGCTAAAATTTATTTCGGGACTATTGACAATGTTATCAATTTGATGTTGGGGAAAAACACTTCAGACTGGTAGCTAAGATCCAATCTGACCAGAGTGACAAACTAATACAATATATTGCATTAACATTGACAGTGCACATTGTAGGGTTTTTGTCAATTATGATGCAATATTACACAACTGTTACCTGCATGTTGCCATCTCATAATTATGTGACATTGCTAATGTGAACTTTTAGAAACTGTATCTTGCACAGGGCACTAGACCTGTGGGAGTAGAAAATGAAATTTTTACCCCCCAAAAAATGATAAATCGGCCATTAATCCTAGCAAGATAAATAATCAATTGAAAATATAAAAGAGTGCTTTAGAAGATATGATGAAGATGGTAAACAAAAATAGCCTGTCTTATAGTCCAGTCATATGTTGTAATTCTACTTTTCTATTACAGGTGGGGTCCTAATGTCCAGCATGTGGAGTGTATAAAAAGACAGCTAGAGGCTCAGGGTGGAGGGATGGAGCATCCACCAAACGTATGTAATGATCCTTATCTTTCTTTTTCTGCTCCCTCTCCTGCCCACAATAAATAAATGAATGAGTGAAAAATAGAAAAGTGTGTATAATTAAATTTTATATATAATATTATGAAACCAATGGGCAGGTATGACATTGCAGATTGCTATCAATGATTAAAGCAATAATAACTCTTCCTTTGAGATTCAAAATTCCGCAAGAAATACATTCTAAACAACACATGGAAATATATTATATTGCATTTCACCACTAAAACGGCTGTTATTTTAGTAAAACTAAAAACTGTGCTTGTCAATAGGGCTTTCGGTGCCTTTTTTCCCGGTCATCAAGGCATTCGTTGCCAAGGATTTTGGCACATCACGCGGATTCTCGCGTGCAGTCGAGACCAAAATAACACAGGCACATGACACAATCCTCAGACGTAAGTTGCGAGTTTTTGTACAGTGTGTCGGATAACGAAAAGCCCAGAACTGCACACGTTGTGAATATGAGCAATTAAGACGATTATATCGTATGAATCTTATTTTATTGCAATAAAGTGTTGTTATTGTCTGCTTTTCCCGCGGTTTTAAGTAGGTAATCAGAAAACCCCGCTCGATATGCTATGTTTAGATAGGGCTCCGTCAGTTAAAATCACTTAAGAGATTTTAACAAAAAACCGTACTTTTGGGAAAAAAACCCTGGATTAACTTTGAATGCAGGAATGGGGTCGCTGACCATTGGTGAGTATGGGAAAATTGCCGTTTACTCCAGGAAAATCCAATTTTTGGCCAAAACGAAGAGTTATTATGACTTTAAGCATAGTTTTCAAGTCAGTCACCCTTGGCCTATTATAAGAACTGATAACAATCCTCAAAACCAACAAAAAATTCCTCTGACATACATTTCTAGCTAAAAGACTTCAGAAAATTCACATTTTTACTCTTCACGTAATATTCTTATCATTCAAAATGCAACATGCATGGCGTAAAATTCCAAAACAGTGGCAATGAACACCTCTGTCGTAAAGTTAAACAAGGGATAACGTACACATGACTTAAATTTTTGCTGATTTACCATCCCAAATGTTCTTTTCCTAGTCACATAAAGCAATGTAGATTTGTTTAGTGTGAAAAATACCTCACAACAATTATATTCGCCAGTTGCAATCAGTGTATTATATGCTCCCCTAACATCCAAAAAAGAGCTCTTCGCATTATGTAGTCTGAACTTTCATCAGTAAATTTTCTATAATGAAATCTCGGTGTACTTACTTGTTCAAAAAATGTTTAATGAGTCACACAACTGCACAAGATTAATTATTATTAGTTATTAATAATTTCAAATAACAGTAATGTCATGGTATATTCACAATGTAAAGCTTTTGTTAGACTAATCTTGGGCTGTGCATAATGTTATCTTTGGATTTTATACTGAAAAATTTGTACATACTCTAGAATGATTCACAAACACTTTCTGGTAGAGGAATTTTGACAAGCAGCTGCCACGAATCTGTGACTTATCTTTTCATAAATTGATAATGACTATTCTGCTTAACAGGTTGGTGGAATAGAGCTGGACTTGTCCCGCCTGCAACAGGCCATACAGAGCTTTGGAGGCATGCAGACAGTCCTGGCCAAGAATATACTGCCCAAAGTCTGTGATGCTCTCAACATTCCACGTATGGTATGAACCTGCATCAATATTTTGAACACTGAAATATTTGTGTGGTGACTAGTATGTTTTTTAAGCTTTTTTTATGTTCATTCTTTTAGTATCATCCTTATGTAGATAGAAGATTGAATAACTAACATCAATTACCTATTGCAGAAATATGTGTGATGACAAAAAAATCTGACAAATTTTGCGTCAATCTACTTAAATATTCATCAAGTTATTTTTGATATCTATGTTAAAAAATTATTGAATTAAATTTTAAATTATTAATAAACTTTGCAGGATAATATACCTTAGACAAAATAAACTTTGAACTGTAATACTTTATAATTATTTTTGTTATCATGATACGATCAGGTCTTGTCTTACTGACGTTTTGTTTCTTCTAGGCCTTGGACCGTATGTCAAGACTATATGATGCTTATTGTAAGTACCTCGTACCTTATGACACTTTGACTACTGAGGAAAAAGAGAAGCTTGACCAACAAGTGTCCATGATGAGACAGAAAAAGAAAAGAGTAGAAGATGACTGTGTTTTAAAGGTGAATTGTTAATTGAAATATTTTACTGGTGACTCTGATACCTCTAAATATGTTGATGGCATTGCTCTTATCATATTTTTTACAGTAATTGCTCTCCAGACCAATTACAAACTGCAGTAACAGAAATCTTCCTATGGTCACAAGAACACAACAGTCCATGTATTCCAAAAAAACAAAGTCAATTAGGTTTGATTTCTCAAAACCTAGTCATAAACTCCCAACTAATAACAATTGATGGAAAAAAAAAACAAAGACAAAGTGAATTCTGCTATAATCCTGGGCCTTAATTTAAGCCAGGATTAGATTTAGGAAACCCATGTAAATCATTTACACAAAAACTAGCCAGAGACTATATTTTTTCAGAATTTAAAAAGAGAATGCATTCCTCGACTCATGAGTAACTGAAAATATGTCTTTATTAAGACCTACCTTATAATATGCTATGCAAGTGGGGCATCCTGGACTGACCAAGTTCCAAACCAAAAATCTAAAATTGAAGCCGTTCAGAAAAGGTTTTCCAAGATACTATATCAAGATACTATATCCAGAAATCTCTTGATGCCTTAAAAATGACAACGCAGGCATTATCACTGATGTCAATTTTAGATGTCATGAAATATTTGAAAGTATATGTATGGAACGACATAAACTGAACCAGTTATTGTCAAAAGTGAAAGAGCATTCACACACCCTAAGACACTCAAAATTTTCATACTCCATAACTTGGAACTGCTGTGGGCAAAGACTTTTGTCCCATGGACCCATAAATATTTAAATGTATAAATTTACTTGCATTGGTTAAGGAAATTGATTGATTGTACATTTTAATCATTGAATTCTTATTTCATTTTTAGTCAGGTCTCATAAATGATAATTGCCGTTTCCGAGCACGAGCCTCAGATTCCCTAGTGCAAATGCCAATATTAACGAGCCCCACCTCAGATTAACAAGCACAACGTAAAGTTACCAAGCACAAACTTAGCATTTCCAAGCACTATCAATATGTCCAGCTTCCATTGGGGCCCCCGGCTGCTTACATACGGGTTATTTTTATCAACTCAGGACTATTTTCAAGATGGCGGAAGATACAAGAGACATAACGGTGGAACTTTCAGAGATTTCTGGTCACAAACGAGTAATATTATCCCCCTTTCTGTCTCTTTAATGAAAGAGAAAGCATTTTTAACGTTCACGCCACAACCAAATAAAGTGGCTAGATCATTACTAACAAATTTTGAAGAGAATTGTCGTGATCATTCTAAGCATGGACTGTGTGAGCAGTGTGGTAAGATCATAGAAGCAGAGTGTTTTTGTGACGAGCACAGCATATGAAAATTCTCAAAACAAACAAAACTACTGCATTAGTATATTCCACTATCCATACCGCATATTAATACAGCAGCGATGCATTCTTGACAACCTTCGGCTCATACAGAACATAACAAATGGGTAGATAAGCGGATCAATGGCTAGTGCTTGGAAATGCTAAGTTAGTGCTCGTTAACTTAATGTTATGCTTGTTAATCTGAGGTGGGGCTAGTTAATATTGGCATTTACGCTTGGAAATCTGAGGCTCGTGCGAGGAAATGCCAAATCCGTTTATGAGGCCTGTTAGTGGTCAGTGTCATAATGTATTGTAGATGCTTTTATCACCTTCTCAAAGTGTATGTACAATTCAACTTATGGTTACAAGAATGAATATTATTATCCATCAGGGATTTTATTTTGAAGAAAAGCTGGACCTGAAAAGAGCCTGAGAGAGAAAATGAAAGCAAAATAGATTTAATTAGTTTGAGCTAATTTCTCAGTCATGCTGCTCTTATTACCAATGGTACTAAAGGTGAATATGAGCTGTGACTTTATTCCCCAAGCTTTGAATTAAGTATAAGATAGTTCCCAAAGGATATGATCCATAACACGAGAGACTACAGCAAAAAGACTTACTGTAAACAGAAGATCACTGAGAATCCTGAAGGTCAAGGTATAATTTAATTTCTAAATGAAAAAGTGCAACACTTTGGATGTGTGGCTTTTTCTTTTGATTGATTTCATAGGTTGTAGCATTGCACTGATCTTTGTAGGATGTAATAAAGTCAGTAGTGGCTAATAATTTAGTTCCTAGTTCATCTTATTTAGCCTGTGTTGTCACTTAATAGTGAAGACAGGAGGCCCACCAATCATGGTATGGTCTAATGGCATAATCTACTGGCACCCAAGAGAAGAGCACAGTGGACCTGTCACATCAGTAACTAATGCCTTGCTGGGCTGCTGATTACTGTCTGGAGGCACTTTGAAGGGCAGTCATGAAGAGCAGCAACTAAGGTGTAATAAAACTAATGATACAAATTATGCACAAAAAACAAGATACTGTGACCTATTAACAATTAATGTTACTTTATGAAGCTGATAAGCTAGTGTGTGCTATTAATAGACAGAAATCATGATAAAGAAACCATGTATAAGGCAAGTAACCTGTTTTAGACGTGTTATTTAGAGCATGTTTAAAGTAATTTGTTTTAAGATAAGCAGCAAAATGCTTAACAGTTGATAGGGAGACTATCAATTATACAGACACATAATATCAGGAGAGAGTTGATGCTTATTTCCTTGTTGCCTACCTGTCTCTTGGTAGATTAATCCACTGTTACAAGAATCAAATGTTCCAAACACTGCAGTGATAGAATTAGAGTGCAATAGACTTCAAATGCACAAACAACTATTATTTGAGAATGGATCTGTAGCCTTTTGTAATGATGCCAGTTATTATCCAATAAAATATTAAATAAAAATTATCTTAAAAGACAATTAATAAAAGTGAATGAATTTGAATGACATTTGGTGCATTGAGAATAGATAAGATGCATTAAAGGTTTAATAACCATACTTGAAAATCTTGACCATTAATTTTTGAAGAGTAGTCAGTATCCAAGGTATGACTGTGTTTAAAGAATAATAGTTCTTAATTTAGAGGCAGTATATTTTCCAGTTATCTTTGCATTTAATTATTTGTTTATTTAAGAAAATGTTTAGAAGTATCCTGGAACTTAGAGAAGAAAGTAAAAATATTTTAAAATAAATAATTGATGGAAATTTATCATTGAATTTATTAAGTAAGAGTTTCATTAATGAATGTGAGTGTAAGGATCTTGTTTTTGTTTTATTTTGTATGATTGTTTATTTCTGGATTCTGATGAAAAAGTTTACTTTTATAATACTGAGTATGATTTTCTTTCAGGGAAAGTCCACCTCCCTTGGGAACTTTTATCGAGTTGCAAGAAATACTAAGCTGATGTGGTTTACTAAGGAAGAGCCATCCCCAGAGCAAGTAGAGGTAGGGGCTGTTTTTACTAAACCTGGATGAAATATATCTTTTCTCAGAAACTCTGCAAAACCCAGAAAATATCATCTAAATTAATCCTTTCAATGCAAAATAGGCTTTAACTTCAGAGAAATCAGTGCCCTGCAAAATACATTGATATTCTTTGCTGTCAAATCAGAGTGTTTGTGTCTTAGTTCAACTGATACAATGATTTAAAAAGAGCTTACACAAAATCTCCATCTGTTTGTGAATTGTTACAAACTAGTTTGGAACAGCTATTCATTTTTCACTGAAAAGTTATTGGTCAATTACTTTTGATTGATAAAATTTCCTCTATAGATGCCATTTAAATCTTTTTACTTAAGTGAAAATTTTGTCTGTGGTCTGCTCAGTTTCCTCATTGTATATGAAAACTGACGTAAAGTATATTCTTACTTATAGTTTCATTTTATTGTTTTATCTAGAAATAGATGTCATTGAAATAAACCAAAACATTCAACTTGATGGAGCAAAAACAAAATCAGATAAGGGGTAAACTGTGTGACTTTTAGCAGATTATATTGGCACTGAAGACAAATTTAGAATTAAAAACAGCTCAGACTTAGTATTGAGGGATGTGCAGTAATTGTGAGAAAATGTGGATATCTGTTAGACAACTTGTAAATTTTATTTTATGGTCAAAATGAACAACATGCATGTGTATTGCACATTTGAGAAATTGACATAGTTGTCAAGAAAATTACACATATTTTAGGAGATATGTTATAAAGCAGAATAATTCTTCAGATATTGTTTTGCCACATTTTTCATTTCATTGGTTCAAGTGTTTTGTAATTTTGTCATCAGTCCATCCTAATAATATAAGTCACCCCTGTGATTAGCACCCCACCCTCTCTCTCTCTCTCTCTCTCTCTGTCTCTCTCTGTCTCTCTTTACATTCTATTTAACATCCTGTCATTAATCCATTCTTAATTGCAAAGCTATACATTTGCGTTGGTTCCTTTATTATGTTCTTGATCTCAGTTTTTGTGTACAGACACATCATGACTACACAAATAGCCATCACCTGCACTTGCTGTCGTCGCTGTCATTGTTGTGCATTTCCAGTGATGAAACAATAAACCATTTGACCTGTTTTCTTGCAGAACTTACAGAACTGATGAATATTTATAAATCGGAAAAGATTTATAGGACTAAAACACAGATTAAGTTGGAAAACCAGCCAGATTCCAATCTTTTTCGGGAAGTTATGCAGTTATTTGCGAAATTTTCATTTTTGACATTTTGTGATTTTAAGCATAGGGACTTTGAACTCCCATGGGCATGAAGCCATATAGTACTTACATTTTCTGATTGCCCTTGTTACCTATAGTAGTTACATAAAATTGGTGTAAGCCATGCTTTAAATCATTATGTAATATTGCATTAAAATTCACAAAAAGCACTATTTTCAGCACTGCCACCACAAACGCTATGAAAAAAAACTGTTATCTAGTATTTTGTAAGTTACAAGAATAATTCTTAGGATTGACATAGAGCTTGATTGGATTTTTATTTTCTGAAATTTTCCTGAAAGGCAGATATGACAAGGGGCTTGTGTGCAATCTGAAAATATAGAGTCCTCATTGCCTCTGAATCTGAGGTTATGGTCTTAAAACAGTTTCTTCCTGCTCTTTGTTGACACACACTGCATGTATATGAACATGTCCACACTTGTGCATAAGCCTGTGTCAACAAAGTAAATTAGTGGAACTTCAGAATAGTAAGCTGGCAGGTCCACAAGAAAAAACCCTTAATCCTGTGAAATGATTAGACAAACAGGGAGCAGACTCATTTAATGAGCTTGTTCTCATACTCTGATATTATGAAACACAGTTCCTAATAAATCCAATCCTAAACATGATCCCAATTTGATTTGTTGAGCCTTTATTGTGAAGCTGTAAAAGTTGACACTATTCATCTATTCCTTTTGTGTAATTCATCTGCATAGACAGGTAGCCATGACTTGCTTCTTATGTTTCCTTCTTAATGATGGAAATATTGTAATTGTCTTCCATTTCATACTAAAAATGATAATGAAATTCCTTGGTAATGGACCTTACTCTGACCATGGCAGATCTGCAGACTGGTGTGGTGACTTCTTTTCTCACATAATTCTGGTGCCCAGAATGGATTTGAAGCATGTTAAAGTGGTCATCCATATGCAGATAGAACCACTGGGATGTTTATTGTTTTTATTTATTTGTTATGCAACATACAAAATACAATACTACAGAAGCTTACAGATAATACATTGTTGCATGGCTATCATAAGAGAAGACAAGAATACATTTATCCAAAAACAGTTTATACTGACACTCTCTCCCTCTCTCTCTCTCACACACACACACACACACACACACACACACACACACACAC